CCTCGGCCATTACGAAATCGAAGACCTCCTACGTATGTTGTGTACTCAGATAAGAATTGTTTTTACAGCAATCATACTCAATTCCTGTTCGCTTTTGATAATAATCCGAATATTATATTGTAATACATCAGGTGCAACAACAAGTTTCAACAATGTTACTTCGTAGAAATAAAAATTATTTTTTAGAGAATATTAGGTATAAGAGTTTTATTTTAGAGCTTAGATTCGAGTAGTATATACAAAGCAATACGTATCTCACAAAAATATTAATGAAAAACCAAAAATATTAAAAGTACAAAGAATATTGAATTCTTTTCGATAGCTTATTTTTTATATTATTAAAAGAATTAAAATGTAATAATAGTAATTTCTTAATTTACGTATAATGTTAATTACTATTAAAAGTTACATAAAATTTTAGATGGCCTGTTCTACGGTGCGATATGGAGTAGGAGTAACGAGAGAGTTAGGAATGGACATACAAAATTTGGGAGCAAAGAAGACGTGTCTGATGACAGATCCTAATTTGGTGAACTTAGCTCCCGTAAAAACTGCCATTGATAGCCTCTCTAAATATGGGATTCAATTTGAGATTTACGATAAAGTACGCGTAGAGCCAACTGAGCAAAGCTTACAAGATTCGATCGAGTTTGCCAAGCGTGGAAATTTTGACGCTTTTGTAGCGGTGCGTATGTGAGAAACGACGCAATAAGTGACATACGTAGAAAAAGAAAGGAAGAGTAGAGCTTTTTTTATTTTTAATTCGCAGGTTGGCGGTGGTTCTGTGATGGATACCTGTAAAGCGGCCAATCTGTATAGCTGCGATCCAAACGCCGAATTTTTGGATTACGTAAACGCGCCGATCGGGAAAGGTAAACCGATTCGGGTACCTCTAAAGCCACTCATCGCCGTTCCGACAACCTCCGGTACCGGTTCTGAGACAACTGGAGTATCTATCTTCGATTATCGGCCGCTAAAGGCCAAAACGGGGATCGCTAACAGGTAATGTTCAATATGCGTCGTTGGATAGAAAGGCCGTGTTCCGATATACATTACCAGTATTGAAAATCTATAGTTCACGTTACGTATACCATAGATTTTCAGCGTTGTCAGTGTATATCGGAACACGGCCAAAGAAGATATAAAAAAAAAATTAATTTTTCAACTGTCTGATCATAGATCTCTACGTCCAACGTTGGGAATCATCGATCCCCAGCACACTCTGTCTTTACCAGAGAAAGTATGTGCCTACTCCGGTTTCGATGTGCTCTGTCATGCTTTGGAATCATTCACGGCAATACCCTATACAGAGAGAACGCCATGCCCACCGAATCCGATTCTAAGACCAGCTTATCAAGGCAGTAATCCTGTCAGCGATGTTTGGGCGCGATACGCTCTCCAAGTTATGCGCAAGTAATTAATCAGTCAATTATTATGCAAAATTGCGTATCTGGTGTACTTACTTTGAATCAGAGATATTCCAGATAAAAGAAATAGCGGTTAAATTTTTATCAATGTGATTCCAGAAATAAAATTACGAAATTATGTAATATTAAAATATAAAATTTTATCCTAATTATTATTAAAATAAATATATTAATTTTGCAAGAATAAGAGTATCTCTCTTAATAAATATGCATAAAAAACGCTAAGAAATTTTGCTGGTTTCTTAATTTTTATCAATTTTTCACTAAATAAATGTAATGCTTAAAATTATAATAAATAATTTTTGAAAATAATAATAATAATTACTTTTGGTGATACTTATTTTTCTTTAAATATATAAGTGAATAAATAATGTTTGGAGATAATAATAATAATATTTGATTTTTTTATATAGATACTTCAAGCGAGCAGTTTACAATCAAGAGGATTTGGAAGCGAGGAGTCACATGCATTTAGCAAGTACAATGGCAGGCGTTGGTTTTGGAAACGCTGGTGTTCATCTTTGTCATGGACTTTCGTATCCTATCAGCGGAAATGTTCGAAATTTCCAACCAAAGGTAATTAGAAACTCTTTAATTCATATAGCGTCAATATCTTAATTTGCATACGTTTAATTCCTATTTAGACTTCGATATATTTATCGGGATGAGCAACTTCTATTTAGAAAGTAATAAAAAAATCCTCAATTACAATAGTTTTCCCAAACCAGCAATATAAAATTATGCTTTCTATCTTTTCTTTTATCTTTCTTTTATCTTCTATTTAGAATAAATTTTTCAAATTATACTATCTTTCTGTATCTTTCAAAATTAATTATTTTGAAATTCTTTAATGCTTTTATTGAATTAAATTTGAACGTATTTATTGAATCTTTATTTTATTTAAGGGATATAGTAACGATCATCCCATAATTCCTCACGGTCTATCCGTGGTGATCTCTGCGCCAGCCGTATTTTCCTTTACCGGAAGCGCATGTCCAGAGAGGCATCTGGAAGCTGCAGAATTGCTCGGTGCAAATGTCCAAAATGCCAAACGGGCTGACGCGGGTAAAATTTTGGCTGACATTGTAAAAGAATACATGCGTGTTATGAAAGTCGAAAATGGTTTGGCAGAACTCGGTTTCAAAAAAGAAGACATTCCTACTTTAGTTCAAGGCACTTTGCCTCAGGTAAATAATATTCAATGAATATTATTTTTTATCAAATAAGAAAGATGAAATTAACATAAAATGTAGTATAATGATCAATACTACATTTTAAAAGCGTATATTAAAATTGATTTCTTTTCTTTTTTTAGCATCGCATTACGAAATTGGCGCCACGTGAACAATCTGAAGAGGATCTCGCGCAATTATTCGAGAATTCATTTGCGATTTATTAAAGATCATTTAACGTTATAAAATAAACATTTCGTTAATTGTATATAAGTAAAATTGTAACAAGTAAATATTATTTTTATACAATAAATAATAAAATTTATAAGAAAACAAAAATTTCATTTGACTGAAAGATTTGCGTTGCTAAATAAAAGTTTTTAATTAGTGCTGTAGCTTTAGTTGTGTGTATATATTTTTAATCTCAGACTTTATATAAGATTTAATTGGGCTAAAACGTGTTAGCCCGTAAAGGCCCCCACCACCCCCGCTAATTATAATCAGCGGTCCTCTTTTATCCCAGGTAACAAGCTAATGCCGTAAATATGATGACGAAAAACATTAGCTTGCTACCTGGATGGTATGTATTTTTTTACGTTTATATATTACTTTTTATATAATGTATTGTAATGTCAATATGGACATTGGACAATAAAAAACTTCAATATATAAAGTACATAACTATAACTACAGCTAAATCGAGTATATTTAAAAAGTTCCTAAAAATATTTTTCAAGTTAAAAGTTTATACTAAATTTAATTGGGCTAAAATGAATTAGCCAGAAG